GAGGCTGAGGTGAGTGGATTGCCTGAGCCCACGAGTTCGAGACCCGCCTGGGCAGCGAGATCTCATCTCTACAATAAATCAAAAAATCAGCCGGGTGTGGTTAGCACATGCCTGTAATTCCGGCTACTTGGAAGGCTGAAGCGGAAGGATTGCCGGAGCCCAGCAGGTCAAGGCTTCGGTGACTGGGAGTGGCCTCTGCACTCCAGTCTGAGCGACAGAGTGAGACTCCAACTCAAAAAAGAGAAAAAAGGAAACATTGACAAAGATTTGGGAAAAAATTGAGAGTGTATTACACTCCCCACGGTCTGTAATGAGTGCCTGTAGATACATTTGCGTTATGGATTATACACACACACACACACACACACACACACACACACACACACACACACATTTACATATAAATGGTGGTAAAATATACATAACATAAAATTTACTATTTTAACAACTTTTAAGTGTGTGATATTTTGTCTTTTATGTAATATCTTATTTTCAACTATTGTAACAGACATTGTTTTGAGGGTAAACTTAATTTTGAATCGACAGGGTTTAAGATAACCTCAAGATCCTTTTAAAGTCCAATAAAATGTTGCTTCTTTTTGTTTGCAGGATTCTCATAGTGATGATGATACAAAGGATAATAAGGCAACTAGTCCTGGTCCAACTGACTTGGAGACCCGCAGTCCTTCTCCCATTTCAATCTCCAGCAGTGAAACTAGCAGCATTATGCAAAAACTGAAGAAAATGAGAAGCCGCATGGATGAAAAGTAATTTTTTAAAAATATATGTTTCCTGTTTAGTTACACTAAAAGTAGTACAACAAATAATATTTTAATATGCTTTATTAGATCAGAATGAAAAAATATTTTATGGATTCAGTAGCATTTTAGCATAATTATTAGATCAACATAGAAGTCAATTAACTGTAGATCTTATTTATAAAACAATTTTATAAAACATTTTTATATTCTATATTTTTGTATTATTTATAAAACAATTTTAATACAGCAAGTTTCTTATTAAAACTAAAGTAATATATGCACGTGTACCCATAACAATGTTTTCTCCCTTCTTTTATGAAAAGAAAGGATATGTCTGCCAGCTTGGGGAAACAACTAGTGGTATATCCTGACCTCTCATCCTGTGACTCTCAGGCTTATTCAAATAGAAGAGTGAAAGTTTAATCTTGTGAGTAGATATGAGTTCTCCAGCTGAAAACAGAGAGGCAGAAATTCTCTTGGGAGGTGGAATGATTTGGTAGTCTCACAGTTTTCCAAAACCTTTTTTTTTTTTTTTTTTTTTGAGTTGGGGGTCTCACTGTGTTACCCAGGCTAGGGTGCAGTGAAACAAATACAGCTCACTGCAGCCTCGACTTCCAGAGCTCAGGTGATCTTTCTGCCTCAGCCTCCAGTAGCTAGGACTACAGGCTCCCACCAGGCTAATTATCTGATTTTTTTTGTAGAAATAAAGTCTCACTATGTTGCCTAGGCTAGTCTCAAATTCCTAGGCTCAAGCAATCCTCCCATCTTGGCCTCCTGAAGTGCTGGGTTTACAGATGTGAGCCACCACACCTTGCCCATTCTTATCTAATACATTTTTAAGGATTATTTTTTAAAGACTTAAAAGAAAGCTACTCTACTTAAGTGTAGCCCAGTTGTGCATCAGCTTTGACCATATGAAATGACATTTTTATGAGCGTTTACTCTGTGGGTATATATTTAATTTTAAAAGGTTATAAATGAGCTACTTGCATTCTCTGTCTTTGCCCCTATAACCTTTATCTCATATCTAGCTTTTTTTGAGACCCCTTAAACATGGAAAAGAGACCCATTAGAAATTTTTGCTGATGCCATTTTAAGTTAGCAACTTGAACCACAAATTGAACTGATATCGTATCTTTATATTCTTTGGCATTGTACCACACATCATCAGATTTAATAATGTTCTTTATTTATATGTGACACCAATCTGTGACTTAGTTTTGGAATAGTCAAGCAGTTGTTAAATAAAATCCTTAGTTCCTATAGGTACAGTTTATATGTTGGCACTTTATTACAAGAAAGCCATTTCATAACTTAAAAATATCTAAATATATTACGAAAATAACTCTTAAAAATAAATATAAATTTTTAAAATTAAAAATGGAAGGGAGTGAAACCAAAATTTACAAATATGTGAGTATTTTTGAATGATTTCTATGGGATAGATTTATTAAGCCTTCTTCAAATGGGAATTTATTAAAATTTACATGAAATATACTTTTCCTCCTTACCTTATATAATTTTCCAGTATCCTATATAGGCATACTATATTTCTTCAGAAATCTTTGAATTCAAAACAACAATAATTATAAATTTTATCACTGACATTTTATGTCTGCTTCCAATGTCTTTGAATGGTAAATGTTGGAGAAGACGGTTTCAGGAGTGATTTCTTCATTGTTGACCCCTTGTCTTTATTTCAATAAGATATTCATTGCTAGTCTCTAAGAATGACATTCTAATCATTTAACCACATCTTTAGAAGAAACTGCTAATCCTACTCTTATCTGTGAGGTCAGTCAGTTTCTGTGGTACTTATTTCAGATTTGGTTAAAGCTTTAAAAATCCTTAAATAACAAGTTCAAGGTTGGATTTATTAACTTTATTCCAAATTTTATTAATTATTTTCATAGAGTCCAAAATATTAATCACCTAGAATTTTTGTATTATTGCTGTGCCTTACCTTGACAATTACTGCAGCAGACTTCTTACAGGTGTGTCAGGAAGTATAGACTTTAAGGCATTCACTGACTTCTTGATCTTTTGTTTGAGGCAATGCAGTTGTGTTTGTAGAATGAGGAATGCAGTTAGAACAGTAATGGCAAAGAAACATTTAGATAATGGTGCTGAAATTTGAAGATGAACTAGAGTGTTTTCCAAAATTAGTAATGCATTAAAAAGAAAGATTATTGTTATGCACTATTTTTTGATCTCTGGGAAAACTGACTTCTTTCATTTATATTACCAAAGCTTAGAATTAGATTGCCCTCAATGTTAGAGTGTCAGCACAATAAATAGGGACTTGATTAATTTTGTAGTCATTTGTAATAGTAGACATTTAACAACAAAATCAGTTGAACCTTGCTACTTTGTAACTAGGTTCTGCTACTTATTCCATAGATTTGCAAAGGCAGTCAGTCCTATTTTATTGATATAAAGCATCTGTCAAAGAGTAATCATCCTTCTTAATAAGTTTAGCAAACTTTTGGGGGGACCATTTTCATTTTTTATATATTGCTAACACTGAATTCTGATTTTATTACAAATTTTTCTGAAGTGATCCTGTAATTCTTGGCTACAGTGAAAGATTGCCTTTTTTAATGTTTCAGTGAAACAGTAATGCCTTTGTTAAAATTTTTGTTTCTAATGTATGGCTTTTCTTGACCTTGCTATTGAGTTGGCAGTTTATAAATAATTTCCATTATTTATAGTAATTTCTTAGTATAGTAAAAAGCAAAAAAAAATCAAAATGTCAAAGACATTAGTAATAATAAGAATATGTTTGCAAAAAAATTGCAGTAGATCTAAGCTTCAGATTGAATAGCCCTCAGTGTTTTGGGTTTTATTGATAAGTGAAATCTGAATTTTGTTTATTACCATGAGGGGCATTATTTATAATATAAATGGGTTGCCTGTGATCTTAAAACAGATATTCATAAAAAGAAGATCGTGCAATTGACTCTTCCTGTTATTTTGCTAATTCCATTTTAGGAAAATTGTTTACTGAGCAAGTGAAACCCTGAAATTACGGTGTTATCTTTAAGTGTCAAATTATTTAAAATAGGACACAGTGCATCTTTTCTCTCATTAATAGTTGTTTGTTCTTCCGTATTACTTATTAATTATACACTTAGCCTCTCAGCAATTATTTATTGAATATTGTGTTAAATTCTGAGGGAGACGAAGATAAATCAAACATAAACTCTGTCCACAAAGAGCTTAGAGTCTAGGGGAAGAAAGAATGAGTGGCAGGTTCATTTAGAGAAGTATATCAAAATCATTTGCTAAGGAATTTCAGAATAGAGATAAATTTTTACTGGCAGTAGTTTATCAAGGAAATTTTTATGGATGCATATACAAAGTTAAATGGGTTTTTTGCTTGTTTGTTGTTTGTCTTTTTAAGAGATAGCAGGGTCTCTCTATGTTGCCCATATCAGGAATAGACTTGAGCTTCTAGGCTTAAGTAATCCTCCCACCTTGGCCTTCTGAGGAAGTTAATTATACTTTTGAATTAAGAAATACTTTCTTGCATAAGAGGGAAAAAAAAGTATATAGTTATTTTTTGGTTTATTTATTGCAGCCCAAGGTAGCATGGAAAAAATGAAGCCTTTAGTCACAAAACATCTTAAATACTCCTTTTACACTCCCCATTTTGTTAAAGGAGCAAAATTAACTTACTTGATTTAAATAATTAATCAAAAAGTTAAGCAGATAAACATTTTTTGAAATTGCTTTGTCTGAAAGTACTTTTGGTATTGTCCCATCAATACTGGCCGGGCTTGGTGGCTGAGCCTGTAATCCCAGCACTTTGGGAGGCTGAGGCGAGTGGATTACCTGAACCCATGGGATCAAGACCAGCCCGGGCAACTTGGTGAGACCTTGTCTCCGCAATAAATAAAAAATTAGATGCGCGTGGTGGCGTGTGCCTGTAGTTTGGCTACTAGGAAGGCTGAGGCAGAAGGATTACCAGAGCCCAGCGTGTTCAACGCTGAGGTGGTTGTGCCACTGCACTCCAGCCCAGGTGAAAGAGTGAGACTCTACCTCAAAAAAAAAAAAAAAAATTGAAATTCTTCATCATTAATCTATTTTTTAAAAATTAAGGATTTTTAAGGGAATGCTTTTGATATTCCATTAACTATAACTTCTTAATTAGAATTATTAAAACAATTTATTAGACATCAATTGCCTAAATTAAATACAGTTTTTTTTTTTGTTTTTGTTTTTGTTGTTGTTGTTTTGAGGTGGAGTCTCACTCTGTCGCCCAGACTGGAGTGCAGTGGCCGCTCCTGGCCACCGCAGCCTCCATCTGCTGGGCTCCGGCAATCCTTCCACCTCAGCCTTCTAAGTAGCTAGAATTACAGGCATGTGTTACCATGCCCGGCTGATTTTTTGATTTATTGTAGAGATGAGGTCTCACCTGCCCAGGCAGGTCTCGAACCCGCGGGCTCAGGCAGTCCACTCACCTCAGCCTCCCAAAGGCGCAGGATTACAGGCTGAGCCACCAAACCCGGCTTAAATACAGTTTTTAAGAAAGATTCTAGTCTAAGTATAGTAGCTGGAAAAATCTTGACAATCTGATACTGTGTTTTTATTTTTTGTAGTTCCTAGGTGGAGAATAATGTACTATATTATTTTGTTTGTTTAGGTATCTGCAAATTATTGGATTTTTAAGTAATGGAATATATTTTTCTACAGGAAAAAAACCCAAAACACCTTTTCTTTCTGGTCAATACTGTCTCTATCCTCATTTATCCTCCCGTTTAAATATTATTAAAGATGCTAAAGTACTCAAAGAAATCCATGTTATTTAATTATTTATTTATGTTTATGAACACTTTTAGAATTACAGAAAAATTAAAAATACAGTACAAAGATTTCCCATATATCTTCTCACCCAATTTCTTGTATAATTATTTATATTAATACATTTGTTATCAAAGGAATCCATTTTAAAACGTAAAGCAAGCCAGGTTCAGTGGCTCAGTCTGTAATCGCGCGCTTTGGGA